TTTAGGGCTTAGGGTTTAGGGTTTAGGATTTAGGGTTTAGGGTTTAGGGTCTAGGGTTTAGGGTTTAGGGTTTAGGGCTTAGGGCTTAGGGCTTAGGGCTTAGGGTTTAGGATTTAGGGGCTTTCTTCGCATGAACTGCTAGCTTGGGGTCCCCTAGGTTGATTTGGGCAGCCTAAGCGAAAAACAACAAGGGCTGTTGCCCGAAGACCTACTACTAAACAAAGGCCTAAATCCCAACCGCTGTATACAGATTGCACAGATGTTCATATCTTGATGATGAACAGAGTGCAAATGCATGCTTGTGCTTGCTTATGCTCATGTTTATGTTGCACCCCATGCTCATTGATTCTGGTCTTCTGCATTCGTAGAACTGTATTGTATTAACCCTAAACCTGACAATCCGTCAAGGACGTCAACCTCGAGCCCCTACCCTCTCTTGAAGGCCCAGGTCACGCGTAGTGCTCATGGAAGTGAGGTGGGACGATGACGTTGATGAAGAACCTGGTTAACAGTTTAGGGTTCAGGGCCTAAGTTTCGGGTTTAGCTTTAGGGTTTAGCTTTAGGGTTTGGGTTTAGGGTTTGGGTTTAGGGGCCTTCTTCAACTTGGCGGCTTTGCGGGTTCAGGTTGGGTTGGGGAGAGGAGGGGTGAAGCTTGAGGTTTGCAGTTTTGAGGTTTGAGCTGAACGTGTGAGATGCTAATGTATAAACATTTTCCGCCTATACCCTACAACACCCTAAACCCTAAATATGGCATGCATGGCACCAGGGTCACGACGCCCGAGGCTCCAAGACGCCCTTCCTGCGTCGGCGATGGCCCATAGTGGGAGAGGGAAGTCTGTGACATCGCCCCTCTCGTCCTGCCTGTCACACTCGTAAAGGATGATTTCCAGCACCGACTCACGCGGCCAAAGCCAGCGATCTCTGGATGATACTTCGGGTTTCGGGGTTTAGGGTTTGAGGGTTTAGGGTTTAGGGTGTACGGTCAAACTGCTCGGAGTTTGGGTAGAGATGGTTCAAGTAACAACCTGAAGGTTGTGAGGTTTTCGGGCTACTTTGGGGTTTCAGGGCTTGTGAACCCGAAACACAAAGAACTACAACTACTACGGAACACCCCAAGCCCCCCTTAACCCTAAATCCCCTAAACCCTAAACCGTAAACCCTAAACCATAACCCCTAAATCCTAGACCCAGGAAGCACAGGCAGCTTAAGCACCCAGCCCCAAACCCAGAAACCCGAAAACCAGCAACTTTCAACTGCGAAGCAACAAAAGGCTAATGCTTCTTAGGTTCTTAGTAAGGAGTGACTTTTCACAAAACCCTAAACCCTAAACCCTATACCCTAAACCCTATGCCCTAAACCCTATACCCTAAACCCTATACCCTAAACCCAACCCCGTGAAGGGTTTATGTCGGGGAGAGAATTAGGCACCCCAGAACCCCCCGGTCTACACCCTTTGGAGGGATTCTCTAAACCCTAAACCCTAAACCCTAAACCCTAAACCCTAAACCCTAAACCCTAAACCCTAAACCCTAAACCCTAAACCCTAAACCCTAAACCCTAAACCCTAAACCCTACTTCCCCCCATGCCCTACTAAGAAGCAGCAAGCAAACAAACAACGAATCTCAACTCAAGGAGCCCAAGCCCTTCCAAAACTCATCTTGGGACCCCTTCAGGGTTTAGGGTGTAGGTTTTAGGTTTTAGGGTTTCGGGTTTCGGGTTTCGGGTTTCGGGTTTAGGGTTTCGGGTTTAGGGTTTAGGGATTAGGGTTTAGGGTTTAGGGTTTAAGGTTTAAGGTTTAGGGCGTCAACCCCTAAAACCTTTCTTCGGAATCAAAGGAATTGGAAGCTCGTGTCTCCGAGCTGCCCAAAGGTTTTCTCCCCAAAGAGGTTCTTCCTTCAGTCTGCTGCTTTGGGAATCAGGGGAAGTAGGGTTTAGGGTTTAGGGATTAGGCTTTAGGCTTTAGGGCTTCAGGGATCAGGGGTTTAGGGCTCAGGGTTGAGGGCTATGGGTGAGCGACTGGGCTAGATAGTGCTAAGGCGAAGGGGTTGGAAACCACCAAGATGCTGGAACGGGCTTGAATCCAATCTAAATGGCTTCGGGCTTAAGGCTTGGGGTGTAGGGTTTAGTGCTCAGCGTTTAGGTCGAAACTCTAAACTTGCAACCAAAGTTCATCCCTAGACCATTCAAGCGCAAGGGTTGTGCAGCTTGAGGCGCCCAAGAGCACAAGACGGCTGTGTAAGGACAGACCTGAACTCATATCATAATACGGAGCTCTATCTTGTAGATATGCGTACATGTGTAAGTACATATATATATATATACAAGCAAATGTACGCATACACATATATATATATATATATAAAGTCTCGGCAAGACAACTAGGGATAACTAGGGTACCAGCAAAAGGTGAGCACTCTCATGGCAATTGCAGGAAGAATATGGAAGAATCACAGCAGTTCAATCATTCGTAAACCCCTGCAGAGTCAGAATCTCGGCTTTACACAACTTGGTGCTGAGTTCCAGTCGAGACTGGCGCGTCCTTTCGCCCACAGTGCGTGGAAGTCCCAGCGAGCACCATGTGAAAATTTTCTGCGTTTTGCAATCGTGTGACTCATGACGTTTGTACGCTCTGCTTCCTGCTCAGCTGCGGCTCCCTATACATCCCTCATTGTTCACCCTGCAGCTTCCTGCTTTGGGACTGTCTTCTTGTTGAACCCGACAAATACTAAGGAAAGTCTCTGAGATCGATAGTGGGAGCTGGGGCGTCACTCCCAGCGTGAGGCTATCGTCTTGGTCAGGGATCGTCTCCACCAGAACCTCGACGCACCGCCTTAGGTTCTGGGCTTTCGGGGTTGGGGTTTGGGGATTTAGGGATTTAGTTTGCGGGTGTACAGATGCATTTTTCCCTGGCCCCGATGGCTACTCTCAGCGGTAGGCTGGATGTCTGGCAGTCCTCTTGCTCCTTCCACTTCGAGACGCGCGGCGCCAGGTAGAGGCCACCCAGCCGTCTGCACAGCCGTTTCCGGCGCCGTCTCCGCCGTCATGCGCATGGCTGTCTGGTGGGAGGCCCCCGTAGACGCTGCGCAGCTGCAGCTTCGGGGCACTTGGAGGAAGCTTCGAGTAGACCAAGCACCCCGGCACCGGAGTTGCACACAGGAAGGTGAGATCTGCCTGAAGGGACCTGGCATCGGGCGCGGCCTAGGATCTGTGAAGGTCCGGACTAGCACCCAGGCGCCCCCTGGCGGCGGTCCACAGGCAAGAAGGAACGCGCTGCCTTTTGGGTTTAGCGTTTGGGGCTTGGGGTTGCAAAGGGCTGGGAGGCTTTGCCTTCAGCTATATAGGGTTTGGGGTTTAGATGGGTTTAGGTGGGTTGAGATGGGTTTAGATGGGTTTAGATGGGTTTGGGGCCCCAAGACCGATCTCGAAACGAACGCACTTTGACCGAAGCCTCCACGGGCATTGCCAGACCTCGCAGCCAGCTGCAGCCAAAGCCGCCAAAGCCCTGCCGCACCAATCGGGGCTCACCAAGGCGAGATCCTTCAGCCAGGGCTTGTGGAGAAAAGGCTTTAGCAACGTTTCCTGTGCAGGATGCAAGAAGTGGCAGGCTGCAGTGAGGCTGGAACTCGGAGATCTCGCTGTCGGAAACTGCAGGTGCATAGCACATATAACATACACGACTACTGCACAGAACGCAATGCTGCTCAACCGAGTGCTGCAGCCTTGTGGGCTGCAGCAAAGCGACAGGCCATCTTTCACTGCCTTAGCCAGGACAGGGCAAACCGCAAGTCCAGACTCGGCTTTTAGAGACTCTCATTACTTCCCGGCATCGAAGCAACCCTTGACCTGCTCACGCTGACTGACGTGCCATTCGTTGCATGCATGCATGGTACTGCTAAGCAGTGTCAGAAAGTGACAGGTCTTATGGAAATACTGTCCACGGCCTGGCTGCAAAAGTCGGCTGCCATCCCCTCCAACAAGATGCGTGCACCCCACAGATACCCACAGCACACTTTTTTAAGATTAAACTCTGATGACATCCAGGATCAGACTGCGAAGCAAACACCAGGCTTCAGGCTCACCAGGACTGTTCGGAAGCCTTAAGCGGTGGCACTTTTGCGATTTGGTTGCAATCGGTCGTGTTCTCATGGCATGTCATCTTGAACCTGTCACGTTGAAAGCTCTGGCTACAGGGGCGTTTTGAGATAGTCAGTCAACATTGCAGCGAGATCTGGCTTCTACTGCCACAGAACCTGAGGGAGGGGGACGCCTCTGTACCATCCCGGCCCACGGTGCTCGTGGAAGTTGAAGGCGCACTTAATCCGAGCTTCTGTTTAATCCTTCACATTTCAGAATTTATTTCCTCGGACATCCGGACCCAAGACTACTTGCCATTAGGGCGGTTTTCGCGCGGGGAAAAAGGACCACATTCAAAGAAACATTTCCCGGGCAGGGAAAAAATCTGGCTGCAGGCTTCATTTGCTACTCATTGTTAATAGAGATTCACTACATTCCTGTTGTTTTAATGGAGGTCAACACATTGCCATGGTCTTGTTATTGCGGCGCCCTGCCTCTCTTTTTGCGGTGGGGAGGGGCCCCAGTTAAACAGATGCTCGGACTAATTAAGGATCTCGTGGGCCCAGAAAGGACGAGTGAGTGCGTGAGTGAGCGCGTGAGGGCGTGCGTGCGTGCGAATGAGTACCTGCGTGTGAGTGCGAGTGAGCGCGTGCATGTGTGAGCGTGAGCGTGAGCGTGAGAGTGAGGAGGGAGAGTGAAAAAGGAGAGTGAGAGTACGACTGAGACTGTGAGACTCAGTAAGTGTGTGTGTGTGTAGAGACATATGCTGGTCGCTAGGCGTGCACGCATGTGCGCAGGTGCGTGTGAGCAGGTGCGCGCGCGAGTGACCGCGTACGCACGCGCGTGCGTCTGTGCGTGTGCGCGTGTGTGCGCGTGTGCGAGTATGCGCGTGTGTGCGCGCGTGCGCGCGTGCGCACGTGAGCACGTGTGTACACGTGCGCATGTTGCGCGTACGTGTGCGCCCGCGTCAGTGTGGGCATGCGCGCGTTTGTGCGTGCGCGCTTGCATGTGTGCGCGCGCGCGCGCGCGTGTCCGCGTGTCCGCGTGTGCAAGTATGCACGAGCGTGCGGGCGCGCGCGCGCGCGTGCATGTGCGGGCGCGTGTAAGTGAAAGCGCGTGCGCCCGTGCGATGAATCCTTCAGCTGCTTCTCAAGCGCCGCGCAGCTTCGGCGGAGAACCGTTCGGCCATGGCCTTGTTGACCTGATCCCAACGACGTTGGTGCTTCTTTGATTACGGCGTTGAGTGAAACACTCCCCACCTTCTCAGGCTCTGGGATGCGCAGGATGTCTTCCACGGCGTCCTCTTTGACGTAAACCAGCATGTACCTGAAAAAACACGGCGTGTGGCACATGAAACCAACCGCGGTCAAGAAAAGGTGAGCTGCGTGGAACTTTTAAGCGCGCGCATTGTGGACGCGGCCGTCACCTGCCAAGCATGCTATGAGTTTTGCGATCGGTACCTTCGTGGGTTCGGAATTACTAGGTAGTAGAACGCTACACTGCCTACACTCACAACGGTTGGAAACCGCACTCTCTGGTCAGCGGACAGGCATCGAGCTGAATCCGACCTCCAAAGTGCCCATCAACTGCAGCCTGTGCGCTGCATGGAAGGACCTTTGGAAGCTGCGTGACGAATGATTTGCACTGATCCTAACGGTATTCTCCTGATCTTTCCGGCTGTAAGGCCGCCAGGAAGTTATTCTTCCCACCTAAAAAAAGGCTAGTAACGGCCAGTAAAGCAATCCGCTGTTTTGTCTCAAGCCCCTGTAGTCTTGATGTTTGCTGGGGGATTCTGTTTTTTGCGGCTTGGGACTCTGGGACTGTGGGACTGTGGGACTGTGGGACTGCGCGACTGTGCGACTGTGGGACTGTGGGACTGTGGGACTGTGGGACTGTGGGACTATAAAACTATAAGACTATGGGACTTTGGGACTGTGGAACCATGGGACTGTTGTGATTTGTTTGGCTTGGGCTTTGGGTGTTTTGGCTTCTCCATGAACCACAAGCAATGGCTTAAATCGGTATCCTACGTATCTTTTGCTGGTATCCTAGTTGTCTTGCCGAGACCGTATGTATGTATATATATATGTGTGGATCTATATATATATATATATATATATCTGTGCGTGCATGCAATTAAACAACGGGGTGTGTATCTATATACATAAATATGGTCACCCCCGACATATATATATATATACAGAGAGATTGTGTGTGTGTGTGTTTACGTAAATATTCATACAAGCATCCATTGACAGCCTGTCCGAGGCTCGTCGCTGTGCACGAAGCACAAATGCACAATGCACCCACCTAGCACCCTAAACGCTAAACCCTAAGCACTTAACCCTAAGCCCTAAACCCTAAACCCTCAACCCTAAACCCTCAACGCTCAACCCTAAACCCTAAACGCTCAACCCTAAACCCTAAACCCCAACCTGCAAAGCCGACGACGACAGGCTGACTGAACGGATGGAAGGCACCTTTCTCGGTAGGCCCTTGGGACATTCTATGTTTTCCCTTGTAGAGTTTAAGAGGACCCTTAACCCTGAACCCTGAACCCTGAACCCTAAACCCCAGCATCTTCAGGAACATTTTCGAAGGTTTTCAAGGGCCATCCTAGCTTCCAGATGGAGGTTGCGCTCTCGCCACGATGCGATGTGCCAAGGTGTGGTTGCAACACTTCGGCAGACGCGTCCGTGGCTCCAAGACCGGGGCCGACAGCGGTTTCGGGTTTAGGGTTTAGGGTTTAGGGTCTAGGGTCTAGGGTCTAGGGGTTTAACATGGAGCCCAGGTGTTAAGTCACAGAGCAGGAATTATCGAGGTGCACTTCGTAGACCACCACCTGCTTCTGCGCACCCTACAACCTACACCTTAATGCCTAAACTCTAAACCCTAAACCCTGCACCCCGATGGCTCTCCAACAACAGACCGCTTGCCGTGCTACACCCTAAACCCAAAGCTGGTTCTAGGGTTTAGAGTTCAGGGCTTAGGGATTCGAGTTTAGGGCCCCTTGTTCTAGGAAACAGGGTACCCCTTATCTTCCACAAACCTCCACATAAGCTCTGAACCCGTTGTCTGGTGGCAGCAAAGACTCAACTCCAACAGCGCGTCCGCCGTTTCCCGCCCGTTCCTAAGAGGAGGCGGCTTGGTTTACGCTCTTGAGTGTTAGGTTGGGACTATTTTCCCCCTTATACTAACAGTCCTGAATTGGGATTCTTATAGGGGGTACTATAATCCCTAGTAAGGACTGTTAATATAAGGGGGAGCATCCCAAAGTTTCAGGTTCAGGGTTATTTGGCTACCCCAAACCCCCGCAAACCAGAATCCCACTGCAGGCATCTTCATGGGGTCCGCACTCATGCATAAAAACTCATGTTACGTTAGGGTTCCGGGCTTAAGCCCCAGCAGCCTGGAAAGAAACATGGCATGTTTGCTATACACTTAGCCCTCAACCCTAAACCTTAAACTATTCAAACATGCTGGGTCAGCCCTCTCAAACCCTAAACCCTATCCCTAACCCCAACTCCCAACAAACAAAGGGAAGAACAAGGCCCCGACTGGGGGGGGGGGGGGTCCTTAGAACCTGTCGGCCAGAAATCCTGACCCTAACTGGCCCGGTTTAGGGCTTTGGGGTTTAGGCGGTTTAGGGTTTAGGGTTCGGGGTGTCGGGTTTGGGGCATAGGGTTTGGGATGTAGGGTTTAGGGCTTGGGGTGGTTCAGGGTGTAGGGTTTAGGATTTCGGGTTTGGGGTTTGGAGGTTGGGTTGCTGCAGGCGCAGCGGAAATATGAAGAAGCGAGCGAGTGAGTGCAGCAGCGCTGCAGCACCGGCATCTCCCATGGATGCACACTTAGTGTCTTAACCCCTAAGCCCTAAAGCCTAACCCTGAAACCTAAACCCGAAACCCGAAACCCAAAACCCTACTGCCCCCCCCCCCCCCCAAAAAAAAAAACATCCCGAAGCGACGTGCCCAGGTCAGGGACGAGGGTCTCTCGGCGGTGCGTCGAGAACTGGGGCTGGATGCTCTGGACCTCGCGGCTCTCATGTTGGCTCAGGGAGGTCTAGGGTTTAGGGTTTAGGGTTTAGGGTTTAGGGTTTAGGGTTTAGGGTTTAGGGTTTAGGGTTTAGGGTTTAGGGCTTAGGGCTTAGGGCTTAGGGTTTAGGGTTTAGGGTTTAGGGGGTTTGGGGTTAGGGCTTTTGGGCTCAAGGCGAGAGGGCTTCGGGTCGAGGGCCGGTTCTGCTAGAACCCCCTTGAAGAGAGCCACAACCGAAAGTAGGAGCTTCAAATCCTTGGGTTTACGAGCGTCCCCTGAGAACCACAAGGTTTAGGGTCTAGGGTTTAGGGTTTAGGGTTTAGGGTTTAGGGTTTAGGGTTTAGGGTTTAGGGTTTAGGTTTAGGGTTTAGGGTTTAGGGTTTAGGGTTTAGGGTTTAGGGTTTAGGGGCTGTTTAAGTCTTGGGCGTTGTGGGTCTGAGAGGAATTCTGGGGGATTCAGGCCTTCGGAGTCGAGCAATCTGCTCGCAGAGCTGTTGGTGGTAGGGCCGCGACTTCATTCCTTCACCCTGAAGACTAAACCGGAAAACCCGAAAACCCGAAAACCCGAAAACCCTAAAACCCTAAAACCCTAAAACCCTAAAACCCTAAAAGCCTAAAAGCCCAAAACCCTTAAACCCTAAACCCTAAACCCAAAACCCTAAACCCTAAACCTCAAGGGAAGTCAAGCATTGAGGTTGTGGGTCGCTGCCGTTTTCTCGAGCCTCCCTTCTTTCCGGCACGCCACGAGCGTTCTCGACGGGCGCGCAACTGCAGTGCACGAGGCCCTTGGCAAGCCTTGATCCCATCTCCTCGCCTAAACCCGAAACCCCAAACCCTAAACCCTAAACCCTAAACCCTAAACCCTAAACCCTCCGTAACCCTCCATGCTGTCTGCGCCGGTCCTCTCCAACACTGGACGGCTTGGACTCTCTTTGCTTGCCCTTGCCTTTCCTCACCCTTCTGGCTCTAACAAACTAAAACCCGAAGACCAAAGCCCCACACCCTAGCTCTGAACCCCCTGGACCAAACCCGAAACCCTAAGTCCTAAACCCTAAACCCTAAACCCTAAACCCTAAACCCTAAACCCTAAACCCTAAACCCTAAACCCTAAGTCACAAACCCTAAGTCCTAAACCCTTTCGGCTGGGAATCCACACACGGCCTTAGTAAGGCGCTCGGGTTCCTTGGGATCCATTCTTGCGAGGGGTTTGGGGAACCCCAGACCCAGTAAACCCTAGACCCAGTAAACCCTAAACCCTAAACCCTAACCCCTAAACCCTAAACCCAAAACCCTACACCCCAAAATAAACCCTAAACCCTAGAAGAAGGCACAAACCCGAAGCCCTCAAACCCAAGCAAACCAAAACCCTCCAGGCCCATTCCGGCCTGCTCCCCGCCTTTCGCAATGAGCTCGTTAAGGCTGTACAGCTCCTGTGCGGGACTCACCATGAGGTCTTGGGGGGTTTTTCAGGCATGCCTTAGGGTTTGTGTTCTTGGGTTTAGGGTGCACTGTAGACCATGGATTGTACAACTTTTGATGATCTGGTACACTTTACATTTTATGTACAGACTTGTCTATGTATTTCTTGATGTAAAGAAAGTATCTTTTATGTTCAAAGCAGCCCGAAACCTGACCCCAGACGCTTCGCAAACCCTCCTTGGACGCTTCCAATCTAAGCGTTTAGGGCTAGGGTTTAAGGTTTAGGGGTGCCATTTTTTGGAGTTCCTAGCATAGGGGATTAAAGTAGTTGGTGCATGGCAAGCGGGGGGTACCCCTATTCCCCTATGTTGGGAAATGCTCAATGACGCTTACCCTAGAGCCTCAAACTCCACATACCCGTCGAAACCTAACCCTGAACCGTGAAAAGGAGCAAAGACCGGGGAGCACACATACCCTAAACCCTAAACCGAAATGTTCCCATCAACGCAATAGAAAAGTGGACCCCAGTATGAACTGAATGTTCTTTCTCCTATCGAACGTAAACCCCTGTAGCCGTACTTGCATTGACTGCACACTCCCACTGAAGCACCCGAGTTAAACCCACCCTAAGCCGCTAAGCCGTGAACCTTAAGCCCTAAACCCGAAACCCTGAACCGTAAGCCTCAACCTGAAACCCGAAACCCTAAACCCGAAACACTGAACCCTCGTCCTTGTGGGTGAGCACGTCGACGTAGACGTGCTCCTGAATCCGTAGCTTGTCTGGCCAGGTTGGGCTCAAAATGCTTGGGTTTCGGACATTGGGTTTTATCTGCTGCAAACATACACCCTTAAGGATCCCTATACTCTCCCCTGAACCCTAAACCCTAAACAATCCTGAGCCCTAAACCCTACGCCCTAGACCCATCAACCCCAAAAACCCCTGAACTCCTAAACCATCAAGGAAGGCCAGAAGCCCCATCTCGGAAGCCCCCCCACACACACGCTTTTGACCATAGGGGGCGGAGCTAGGGTCGACCCCTTCGAGCTCACGGGTGCTCACAGAAAACAAAATCTTAGGGTTTAGGGTTTAGGGTTTGGTTTAGGGTCTCGTGGAAGATCATGGCTTACTGGTCGCGCCCGGCCTTTGGTCTTGTAAAGAGGGCCAGTCGGGATGATGAGTCTGAGAAGAAGGATACCCAGGATACAGGGCTGCATTCAAGTTGCCAGCCCTCTATCAGGGAGCCCTTACATACCCTTTGTATACCCACAAAACCCAAGGGCCATACTTCACAGCGTCAGAAAACGGTTTCAACCAGCGACGTTTGACATATCACAACTTCTTGCAATGGCATAAACAAAAATCGTATAAAAATATATTTCGACGCACACCCCAAAAAAATCTGCGTCGAAATACCCTGAAGATCCCATACAAGCAACCATTATATGTTACATTAAATTATCTTATATTCTATAAATCATGATATGTAAGAAGTATTATACAATATTGAGTTATTGGTATAAGAACGCCCGCATTGCAACCATCACCACTTTCAAAAGTGCATGGGTGCTCTAAAGGGTGATGGTGGGTGTTTCAGGTCTTGACACTTTACGTATAAAGGCTTGTCAAGCAGCTTGCCCATTGGGCGTTCCGGAAAGGCTCACGGGTTGCAAAGTGGGGGTTCTGGTTGTAAAGTAGGGATTCTGGTTGTAAAGCGGGGTACACGCGAGGGGGGGGGAGGGGGGGGAGGAGGGGGGGGGGGGGAGGGGGGGGGGGGAGGGTGGGGGGGAGGAGGGGGGGAGGGAGGGGGGAGGGGGGGGGGAGGGGTTGTCCCTCTCCGTCAAAGTTGACGGATATTCAGGGATGCGGACTGGAGGGCTTATACGTTGGAGGGGGGAACGTGAGCGAGTCAGTCCAGCTACCTTTTACCCTTTACCCGATACCCCAAACCCTAAACCCTAACCCTGAACCCTGCAGAGTCTGCGGCTGGACTGGTAGTATTATCAGGGAGTTCAAGATGTTATGGTGTTAAAGGGGTTTTTGGGGACAGGAGTGATGAACCGGACCAAGAACTTCAGGGTTTAGGGTTGAGGGTTGAGGGTTGAGGGTTTCGGGTTTCGGGTTTAGGGTGTTTCTAGGGCACCCGACAGGGTCTATACTTTAGAGAACCGTCCAAAGAAAATGAGCAGTGTATTGTGGCATCCATACCGTCTCTGCCCGACTGTATTACGTTTATAGCTGGGACCCGCTCATGCACACGTACTTTACTTCTTCGGGCGCAGAACAAACTAAACCTTCTCCTTGACAACCCCGAAACACCTCAACCCTAAGCCCCTCACCCCTAAAGCTTCACCCTTCACCCGACTAGGGTTTAAAAAAATCCAAACCCCTGTAACTCCAGGCCGACGTGAAGTGCGCAAACAACAATACCCCTTAAGTAAGGAATCTTCCTTAAACTATACTAGGGCTCCTTACATGGGTATTCCTTAAATTATAATAAGGTTCATATGGAAAAAGGGATGTTCCTGAAGTGAGGGGTGTTGGGGTCTCTGGGAAAGCTCCTTGAACAGCTCCGCCACATCGTGGCGGCAGTCCTGTGCGCAATGCCAGGGCTATGGCTCAGAGATTTAGGGTTTAGGGCTATCACCTGCCAGTCTTGCTATCCCTAGACCCTAAACCCTAAACCCAAGACCCTAAACCCTGGATAAACCCTCTCGAAAGAGGGCCTACAAATGGACCGCAATGAATCTTCCTAAGCCCGAAACCCTACACCCTAAACCCTACACCCTAACCCTAAACCCTAAACCCTAAACCCTAAACCCGAAACCCTAAACCCTAAACCCTAAACCCTAAAACCCTAAACCCTAAACCCTAAACCCTAAACCCTAAAACCCTAAACCCTAAACCCCAAACCCTAAACCCTAAACCCTAAACCCTGAACCCTGAACCCTGAACCCTAAACCCTAAACCCTAAAA